GAAAGTATCTGCCCTCCGCGCGCAACATCGTGTGACATTCTCTGATACATATGTCCTCCTCTCCGCCTCGTGTCTTCGCTAACATGTCTCCCCACAATGACATAAACAATATCGGTGTTAGCTACTGATGTCGATAAAATTTTATCACCTCTCTTCGAAGCTCACTACCTAGAACTTTGAATGATACATTTTCTTCATCGTCGCTGCTGGTGTTGCTGTTGTTGGACGCACTGCTTGTGCTCGCGCGCGAGGACGCGTTGCTGAAGAGTTCCGTTCTCACTCATGTTTATGTGTTATTGCGTCTTACATACACACGCTTCTGATTATAGAATCGCCGGTTTTATCCTCTCTCGAGGCCCATTAATAGGGGTTCCAACGCATCTTACTCTGTGCAGACATAAGGGCGGACATTGGCTTAACTTTTACATTCCCACCTGCCTTATGAACACCTGTGAGATACCGCTAGCTGCCGGACTGCGCATATAATCATATGGTAATGGCGCAAAGTTATGTAATATTTTCAAAAGTTCCTTTTCTTTTACAGAAAACGAGTGCGATGATGAGGATGCAAAATACTTTAACATCGAGTATATTTAACCCTGTTATAGGAGATTGTATCTGACCTAATTCGTCCCACCGAATTAAAGACTGCTTACGGTAAAATTCCAAGAGAGATTTTGCATAATCTTGCTGATTTGTTTTGAAGAAAATTCCTACCAAGTGTTCTAATGAGGGATTTATCGGTGTATTCTGATTGTTGCCAGGGATTGCTTTTTCAAGCCTTTGCAGAGCTGCAGAGGGAAGGGGTACTGTCATTGCCTCATTAGCGGCGGAACGCCTGCATTTTCTCACATTCTTTTTGTTTATTTTCTTGCGAAAAGTAGAGCGCGGGATAATTAGCGAGCGCCGAGCCCGCCCCCGCGTCTATTTCCCGCGCAGACATCGCGACAACGCGTGCGCTCGCACCCGCCGCGTCCGTCGCGCTCGCTGCACCCGCCGCCGCTATGACAGCTGTCGTTCGCGTGCCCCCCATTTATTGCGGTATTTTTAGCTGCCATGGCGATATCCGGAGGCGATTCTAATATGTTCTTGTTGACACCATCATTAATCTTGTTAGTATCATTACCGTTCGAGGTGAGGTCAGAGACCAGGTGGGTCAGATGTCGGTCGACCGTGGACTTTGGAACAAGACAATACTCTTTCATATTTCTAATCAAATTAAAGATGTAAATGCATTTACAGCAAGCGGGAGTAGAATGGATAAAATATTTCCCCGGTGCGAGATGAGAGAATTTTTTTCTTCTTTTTAAGAGACGTTTTCTTCAGAGACACTTCCTTGATAGCTTGCCGATATCGTTTCAATTTCTTAATAATTTTTCCGTGGTTAAGTTTTTCCTTAAGAAATTTGAAAAAACTTCGGCAATGCAATTGATCTGCTGTTTATCCAGCTGTAATATAAAGCCGGAACGTCGTTTTGGCTTTAGTGAACAGAAACGATAGCACATCAACAAATCGAGGTGTGAGGGGCTGCCTTGTCATGGTGCAGGCTGCATGTCATCAATCGTAATGTATGAATTGAATTTGTCGGGATATCCAATCCAGCGAACAAGATATTCTCTCTGCTTTTTATTTCTGTTCCACCTCGATGACAGGATCTTGTACGGGTAAAACACTTGGCAGTGATGTCGGGACGAGCTCCTCTCGATAAAACAAACCTTGGACTTCTTCGCCGCTTAAATCTTCCAGATAATACCCGACTATGTTCTGACGATTGTCAATCTGTCGAATTTTAAATATCTCCTCCGTATTTTGTATTTCATATCCCTTGCGAAATGCGTCGGTACGAGAGCGCGCTGCGATGCGCACAGTGTCCCCAACCTTTATATTCTGATTGCTAGCATGCGATCGGTCCTTTTTTATATGCACATTCAATGAACGAGCATACATTTGTCGAAAGAGACGTTGACACTGCGCCCGCGTGTAATGGCGGTGCACGTCCAGTGGCGCGGCGCCTTTCAAACCCGCGTGCGCGCGCTCATTATAGGCTAAAACAATATCCGGGAGAACGTCGATATACCTCAGCGTATCTTTTAAGGTTAAATATTTATATATGCGTTCCTTGAGGGTTCTGATGTGTCTCTCTGCAATGCTAGCCTTTATTTCCTTCGAATGCGTGGTATACCACTGCATCTTATGTTCGCGCAGTAAGCCGTTCACTGTATTATTTACAAACTCTCGCCCTGCATCGGTGAAGAGGTGAGTTAAACCTTTAGCATCCTCAGTATTTAACACCGATTTTAGTGCGCTCGCAACCTCCGTCTTGTTTTTACTCTTTAAGGGTCTTACTTGCATATAACGACTAAACACATCTACACACACGAGCAAATAGTTGGTTTTATCGTTTTGTCTTGATAAGTTTCGCATGTCTGCCAGATCACACGTTAAGATTTTGCGAGGTCCTATAGCCATTGTTTGGCGGCGCGGGAATTTTTTGCGAGTATGTCTGTGAAGAGTATACACACGCTGCGATGACAAAGCATTTTTCACATCCGATTGTGTAATATTATCCTTTCCTAATTGCGTGCGAGCGGCGTCTAACAGCGCTTGTATTCCACCTAAGCTGTGGGGCTTTGTATAGTCTTCATACAAGTCCTTTAGAACTTGCATGGTTCTGTCGGTGATCACCATTGGTAGACAAGCTGATGTGGAAAATATTCACAGAGGATATTACTGCGAAACTGCAGTTTATCTGGAGTTTCACAACCGAGGTCTATGAGTAAATAACCGCGAGATTTCGAGAGAACAACCTTTTTATATAACTCCAAAAACCGCTTAGCTTCACTCTTGCCATATAACTGCCTACCGAGGCATTCTAACTGTCCGAGATCTCTCTGTTTTAGCAAAATAAAATGAGAGGTATTTAGTGAAATGTTGCGGCTGTGCTTCCCTTTCATAAATACATTTTGAACGAGGAGTACGACAGATATGTTTTCGTGTCGTCCCTTTGTAAAGATATTACTTACAATGTCATTATTAGCCGCTTCTATAAAGCAATCATCCAGTATATATAATATGCGGTCATTCGGTTTTGTCTTATGATTGATGGGATCTATAATGTCTTTGTTAACAATAAGTTTGTCAGATAAAGAGGTTTCCTTTTCTAGCGGATGAGATTCACTCCCGCATACAATTATACAATCAAACTGTTTCTGATAGTGCACAACAATTTTTGTGGCGAGATGCGTCTTTCCCGAATTAGTGACTCCTGCAATTATTATTCTTGCGGGTGAGCAAAGAGATCCAGCAAGTTCTCCTTAAAACAGGAGTATGGAGTACTGTGCGACATGTTGAAGGACACAAATAAAAATGACACTTAAATTTTAGACATCGCCTATTTTATTGACTACAATATACAGAAAATATTATGTACATGTGTTAAGTATAGCCATTTTAAATAAAGTCATCATCACTATTTTCCTCTGCTTCCTCGATGAAGGGGTTCCCAGTTTGTGTTTTTCTGCGCTTTCGCGGTCTTGGGTTGCCAGATCGTTGCCTCCTGATGTTATTATTATAGTTGTTGTGTACAACAGACGGAAAGTGAAGGTGGCGGAGATACTCTCGTTTTCTCCATAGATGGCTTAATCTTTCCTCTCCTGTTGTTGTTGTTGTTACCATGGTCTCGGTCCTCCTCCTCCTCTCCTCCTCCTTCTCGCTCTCGCTCGCGCCGGTTGCCACATCGCGCACGAATTCTCCCCTCGTTTCCTCCTCCCCCTCTTCGCTCTCTGCCGCCTCGGAAAGTGTTTAATGTCTGGATGACCATATGCTAGCGATTTATAGGCATTTACATACCAACGTTTATCATCGTATAATGACAGCCCGCGCTTTTTCATTTGCGTGGTCATCATTTGACCTCCAACGTTGGTAATGCTCACCTGTTTAAAGAAATGCACTTCTTTTTCATGAAGAATGCGACGGAAATTGTCGTGTTTTAGCCTCCTCTTCTCAGCCCGACAAATTCCCTTTGCACCCGCGGATGTTTGATCGCTATTTAGGAGCAAGGAATAAGTCTTGGGCTTTAGGCAAATTGCCTCTTTTATCGGAATCTCCCCTGTTTCAGATTTTAATAATCCAAGTTTGCCCTTGACAGACTGGTTGTATAATGGATGGTCATGGCTAAAATTAGAAGTGTCTATCCACTCTTTCAAAGGAGATAAGGACAATTCTTTATAAATGTCATCTGTCTCCACAGAGAGGATATAGCTGTCGGAGTAACAGAGCTGCACACGATCTCCGTAATGAGTCTTTAAAACTTTATAATAAAAGTTATACAATTTCAATTTAGCCAGCTCCAAGATGGTAAATCCAACATACTGCGGATAAGCCATACTAACAGTTTTTGCCCTTGAAATGGTTATCACTCTGTTAGGAGCTAAGGGGATGAATCTTTTGAAGAATGGGCTTCGAATCTTTTTGAGAAAAGAAGAAGCATTGCACACCATGCTAGCACGTTCTAGTCTTTTTAGAGGGTTCATTAAACACCGCCCAAAGACACTGTTTGAAAGCGTCTTGAAGCACAACTGTTGTGCTTTATCGGTGGCTTCCCTGCGCGCCTTAATATTTTCGTGAATAAAAGGCGATAAAAATTCACGTTGGGAGAATTCGTACACATCGCTTACTCGCTCCACCTCCACCCCCAAGTCAATTAAAAGCTGCAAATGTTTCAGTAAAATGAGGTGGTCCTTCTGCGGAAGATGTGAAGCCACAAGCTTTTGGTTTTTGCGTGGTAAACGCCTGTTCTGCGATGCTAGAAGTTGTTTGTTATAAGGGGATATGTCCTGATATGTTCATGTGATGAATGAGGAGGGGCAACTCGTCTGTCTTCCTCGCAACTTCGGGTGGAACTCTGAGATCAGCCCCGATGCAATGAACTCGGACTTTTCACAGGGCGGTAATTTCCGGATATTGCCGTATGGTAATTTCTCAGACATTACCGTGGCATACAAGCTGTTGAAATCAAGGTAGAGTATGTAGGTGCTACTTTCCTTTTGTGGGTCATGGTGCGGATTAACAAGGGAGTTCTTTGCTACCGTGAGAGGGCGAACACATGTTGTCAGTCCCCCTCTCACAGATTGCTCAATTTTGCGGGCTAATTCTGGATCGGATATAAGCTCAAGGTTTGTTTTTGTCATTTTTAGGAATGCATCGTATGCATATCCGGGAAGACTGACATAGTTAACTATATCCAGATCGTACTTTTCAGCAAGCATAGACCTCCACTCTGTAATCACATCGGCTAGCAAACCCACATCAGTCCTCAGGTAGCACTCTAAATAATCACCTAAAGTACGACACCCGGCTGCATTCCAGACTTTTAGTGCATGAGCATACTCCTCCTCCGTAACCGTCTCACCTGTGAGGGAGCTATAAAACTTTTCAATGGGGGGAGGCTGGTCTCTTCGAGCTTTTTCAGGTCATCCAAGTACTCATACGGAAAAATACCCTTTCCCGTTAGAAGCAGCGACTGAGCTTCGTCTGGCAAATGACGTAAGATATGCTTGGAATACCTGAGTGAGCGGCTGCTTTCAATATGAGTTTTGGCGAGAGAGCTTAGGCTTGCGTTCATAAAAGCTAAGCTATCGAGGAATTTCAGGTTGTTTAGTTCCACAGAGTGATATCGAAGCCCTTGCTTCGTAAGAATTTTGATTTTTGTGTTAACTTGCATTTCTTTCAGAATCAGTCCGAGGTCGTAAGAGTGATTATGAGCCAGACAGGGGATAGCTGTGCGATGATTTTTCATCTGGAGGTTACAGCGAGCGCAATAAGCACCAATGTAGTTCATCCGATCTTTAGTATGGTCGTGGTGTCTGTGCTTTTGTTGATGTGTGGGAAATTTTTGGTTGCACATTTCGCACATTTCGGCCTTCTTAAAAGCTTCTTCATCTTCGTTGGACATGTGGAGAGGATGATAAGGCATGTTTTTTACAATGTCCGCCCATTTGTTAGACAGATTCTCAACAAAGTGCGTGGCAGCGTCAGCACCTGATATAGAAAACTATCTACTACTTCACCTTGTCTGTCTATTATGATATAGCTGTAGGCACAGGCTTTGTGCTGTGCTATACATCTCTCCCCTCCACCAGTCTTGTCCATGAAGGCTTCAAAGTCGTAGATACACATGTGTGATGGTGCAAATGCTTTCCCATAATTCACGAAGGCGAGTTTACTCCCCTGCAACGGGTAAGTGATCTTTGTTGGCATCTCACACCCTGACATGTGAGATTCGGCTGATCTCTGATCGGGAAACGAAGAGAAACATGTGCGACAAAAGTGCTTGTGAACGTTCCTGCCTCTCATGGTAAATACGTCCATGTACTTATTAAAGTCTGTTATTAGACAGGCGTGCTCATTTTTAAGAAGAAGCAGGTGAAGACGCAGTCGCTCCTTGCTGTCTTCTCTTCCTTTTCTCACCTGTAATATGGCATATTTTTCGTGAGATATGTTCGTTTTTTCAAGGGTATAGACATAAATAGAGAGGCTATTGTCTCTCTCTAATTCTCCCAATGTTTCCCAGCTGTTGGGGAGTTTTTCCGCGTCATGTTTAATAAGGCGCGCACATTTAGCCGGAGTGTTGACCGCTCTGTGTAGATTATTTTTTGAGCGTCCAGCTGCTAGCCATTTTCCGGCCGCGAGGGATCGTATGACACAGTCTGTGTTACCTGTTGGGTTGAAGATATAATGACCCCTCGAACATCTTCAGGATATGCCACATGTCGTCCAATTGCTTGGGGAACTAGAAGATGTGATATCGTAATGTCGTGAGCATTAATGGATTCAAGATCGAGTCCGCTTCCCTCATCTGATAACCACTCTTCTAGTTTAGCTTCTGCTTCCTCTGCCCATCCACATACAGCTCTTCTACACTCGTCTTCGCTAGATATTGCATAACTGCACAGTGTGATCTTTTTCAATATGCGTGACATTGCCGGTAGTGAAGTCTATCTTGGAGAGGGTAATATTAAACCCTGTAAATGATTTCGTGGAAGGGGGAGGCATCCGAGTGTGGAGCGGTGAATTTGTAAGACATCTGTAAAATAATCTTGATTTCTGCGCAGGTAATCAGACGGAGATGGCTGGTCTTGGTTAGGAATGCTGAAGCCGAGCCTTACGGCTGCCCCTTGAAATAATTCCCCCCTGGAGATAATATGCGGCGTCTCTACAATATTATCTTCTTCTTCTTCTTTATCACTAATAACATCACTGTCACTTTCATAATATTTTCTATTCACACGAGCACGCGATATTTCCGGTTGTGCTAAATAGACCTGGACGGCCCAGGTTGGGGCGAGAGAATCCGCGATGGTCCCGGTTGCGTGTAATAGACCTGGACGGCCCGGGTAGGGGTGAGAGGGGCGAGTCGAGACTTGGGAAGGTCCTGCTGTAGGTTCCCTGCAAGACATAACATAAACACAGTTATTACACAATAATGCGAGGAGGGGGTTTTACAACATTCACTCCTCAAACCGTCTTTGTGAGAACTTGCCTGGTGTGGTATGTGACGATCGGTGAGTGGCGATCTTAGAACCTTTAGACCCCTTTCCAGCACCTGCTGTAAGGAATTAAGTATATGGTTAATCATTTGCCGCATGGGCAGACGTCTTTCAGGCGTATTCTGCTGTAGGTCTTAACTATCTTTCAATAATTTTCATGTCTACCCATACTTTAATACTCAGATTTCACTGTGTATGAATTAGCTTACCTCGAATGCATTGTTGACGGTGGTAATGCAGCCTTGCTGAGGGAATGTGTTGGTTGCAACCTGAACACAGCAAGCAAAGGTGGTTGTTGGACAGCTTCTTTCCACAGAGCTGGCAGTGAAGCTTGATGTTAGCCATTGTGAGTGCTATCACAGGGGAAGGCAAGATGTACTAATGTTTAGTGGTCGAGTTTCCACCCTTTTTATATCGCGGGGAATGCCAACGGGTGACAGATGTGTGCATTTCTATTTGACGTTTTATAATGAATTCTATTAAATCATTTTGTGTTTATACAAGAGGAAAAAAAAAATGATAATTAGTATAGAGATGTTTATAATCTTTTTCATTAAATTTAGATTCGTATATCTAAGATGCTTTGAGAGTGTTGAAACACAGCAAGGAAGGAAAAGTAATTATTTAATCGATATCTCCCAGACTCTGCAGTTGACCTGACATCTGTTCAGGATGCAGCTGACCTGTGTTTGAGCAGGCCTTCCTTTAATTATTAACGGCCGTCATTAGTGAAAGAGGTGATCAATGAGACGCTTCTTAACTATCACTAGCTAGAGGGCTTTTAATGATGGGAAAATAAAGACATATTGAGTACAACGAATTTTATACTCCTTTCCGCTGAACTCTATACTTATAAACGAGGTGCTTTTCGATTGTGGGGAACAAACTGTGAATATCTGATTAATT